TTTTTCTTTCTTTTTTTTTCCTTTTAAAATTTATTTAATTTTCAACAGGTAAATTTTATTTCAAAAACGTTGAAGGGTAAATTTTTTAAAATTTTTAATTTATTTAAAAAAAAATTTTTTTACAAAAAAAATTTTAAGTGCGAAAAAAAACTATAATAAATTATTATTATTATTATTATTATTATTATTATTATTATTATTATTATCATCATTATTAATATTTTATTCAATTCAAAAAAAAAATACACGTGACGAAAAAAAAAAAATCACATGTAATTAATATACGTTGGGATAAATAAACGCGAAACGAAAAATAATTTTTTTTAATAATGTTAAAATTAAAATTAATAATTAGTTTATCTTAATAATAATAATAATAATAAATTTAACACAGTCTCTTACTGCGTAAATTATTGTATAAGTTTTTTTTTTTTTTTATTAAATGAATCATTTAAAAAAAAAAGTTAAAGTGAAATAAAATTTCGCGGTTTTATTTATTTATTTATTTAATTTGTTTATAAAAACTTTTCGCAAGTTTCTTTTATTTATTTATTAGTTGGAAAAGTTTTTTTTTTTTTTAGTAAAAAACGGTCGCATTATTTTAAAAAAAAAATTTTAGTTTTTTTAATAAATTTTTATTACTTTTTCTAAGTGATAATAATAATATCGTCACTATCGAGTGACTATAATACGACGATAGTAATAAAACGATAAATTTATTAATAAATTATAACGGTTTGTTGTTGTAGTTGTTGTGAATTAAATGACAAATGATGACGTAATATTATTATTATTATTAACTAATTGCGGTTTCTGTTGGTTTTTTTTTTTTTTTTTTTTTTAAGAAATCTTTTATTATTTATGTTTTTTAGACCTTAGGTCATTAAACCTTCGCAGTTGGTTTCCTTTACAATTAGCAAAATCTTTAACCCAAACGTCGTCTTTCCTTCTCCCTTTTTTTTTTTCCTTTATTACACTCATTATTTTCATGCTTTCTTAAAAGAAAAAAGATTCTTGAATTTCCCCCCCCCCACCTCATACCCCTCTCTGGTATTAACGTGGAACTAGACACGTGTCCTAAAAAAAAAAAATTGTTTTTACTTTAATAAAATTACGAAAGGTCGTCGTTTTTTTTATTTATTTAAATTTTTATTTAGGTTTCATATTAATACGATGATGATGATAATAATAATTGATGATGATGATGATGATGATGATGATGATATAAATTAATATTTAAAAATTAAAAAAAAAAGTTTAGTCGATCGAATTTTCGACGTTTTAAACGTTCGCACACGTTTTTATGAAAGTTTTTACCGCATTAAATTGAAATGAATTTTCCGAAAATTTTCACATGTGAAAATGTATAATTTTAACGATTTAAAAAAAATTTTCTTTCTCTTTTCTTAACAAAAAAAAACCAACTTTTCCTATCATCGTCATCATCATCATCGCGGTTATGCAAGGTTATTTTTCCTCAAAGCTATGAATCAAATTAAATCATCAAAATTTTCTTCGTTTATTATTTTTAATTATAAATTGCCATAGGTTGTGTGTAATATCATGATTCGAAATTTAATTTATATGATTTCGAAAAGAGAATAAGAGAAAATTTAATTAAAATTTTTTTTTCATCTTACGTCAATAATTTTTAATAAATAAATCAAATCGATAATTGTTTAAATAAATAAATTCCACATTGATTAAAAATCTTTAAATAATGATATAAGTATTTAAAAAAAAAGAAAAGAATTTTTATAAATTAAGTGACTGTAAAATGTTTAATTAAAGTTTAAAAAAAAAAAAAAAATTAAAAGTTTAACTAATAAATGAAGTAATTTTAAGTCAATAAAATAAGACATTTTATAATAAAAAAAAAAAAACTTTAAATTAAAAGAAAAACTTTTTTTTCCTTTTTTTTTTAATGATTTTGTCAGTTGCACTACTACTACTATATAAAACGGTTAATAATATTTTGCTTCAATAATTAAATTTATTTTTATTTTTAATATTTATGGGAGATTGTACATATTTTTTTAAATTGTACCAAACAGTTATTGAAATTATTATAATTTTTTTTTATTTAAGGATCTCAGAAAAATAAATTTCATTTTATTGCCTTAAAAAATTACAAAAAAAAAAAAGTTTTGAATTGTTT